GAAATGATACATCTTTATTTTTGTCCTTTTCTTGTTGCCTTTTGAATTTTAAAAAATTAAAAATTATTCTTTGCCAGTTTCGTGCATGTATACAATGCATCTTGATCATATCCAACCCTAATCTGCCCTCCTACTCCTCCTGGACTTCCCTTATACTTTCCTCTTGCATCCCTTGTTATTTTTAAAATAAACCCACTGTGATCAGTTAATTCTGCCTGCATGTGCAAGGGTATGGAGCCATCCATGGGTGCATAGGCAGCCTACTAGCACCATGCTCCCAAAGAAAAATTACTTCCCTTCCTGCAGCAACCGTCCATTGCCAATAATTCCTCATGAGCCACTCTCATGCATGATGGAATGTTGACTGGCTTGAGCTTGTGCAGGTCTTATACAGCTAACTGGGTGCTATGAGTTCATGAGTGCAACAGCCATGCCATATTCAGAAGACAGCATTTCACAGCACTGCTCCCCATTCCCTGGCTCTTAGATTCTTCCTCCCCCTCTGCTACAGTGTCCCCTGAGCCTTTGAGGGATTGACAGACCTCTTGATTTAGGGCTTGAGTGCTCAACACTCAATTATTCTTAGCATTTTGACCAGTTAGGAGTTCTACTCACTAGAAAAACTTCTGATCAATGTTGAGAGCAGCATTCATCTATGGATATAAATACAAATATTTAGAAGAACATTGATAACATGTTCATTTACCAAAACATTTAGTAGTAAGGTTCCCTTCTGGGGCCTGTGACATCCCCCAACATGAGTTTTTGACCAGTTTTACAATACCAGGCATGAATTCCCTCTTTTGGAGCAGACCTCAAATCCTATCAGAAAAGTGTTGGTTACCACCATAGCAGTCATGCCATGACTGCACCAGTTAGGCATATCTTGTGGCTGGTTGGCATTACAACATGTTTTGTCTACCATGGGATAAATTCTTAACTTTTCTTACCCACTGGCTTACATAGCACCTTCCAGCACTATCAAAGCTAGCCAGCAGGGGTGAAGTTTTCAGGTCAGTTCAGTTTGATTTCTCTATGTCCTGCAACTGAAATGTGTTGTGTCTTCAGCAATAAGGTCTTACTAACCAATTATGGTGGGCAACCAAGAGCAATGGCAGTAGCCTGTGTTGTTTTGGGGGCCTCAGGGGCCTTTTTAACTAGTAACTTGTAGTAAGGTAAGCCACACTTGGCACTGAAATTTTCATTTAATAACCTGTGTCTTCTGGTTGAAGCACTGTCTACCCAGCACTTACCTCCATTCAGACTTTAAAAAAAAAATTGTGTGTGTATATATATACAGCAGCTAG